GGGGTCTCGCTCTTGCTCAGGCTGGTTTCGAACTCCTGAGCTCAAACAATCCGTCTGCCTCGGCCTCCCAGAGAGCTAGGATAACAGGCGTGAGCCACCGCGCCCGGCCTATTTTATCAATATTTATGAATTCTCCCTTTTGTGGCTATCTGAGAAGCTACATTTGAATATTAGTTTATGTGCCTTCTGCTTTCTCAATGTGAATTATTAGAATCAATATTCTGCAGGTAATTTTATAACATGCAAAGTACAAAGGTATTTATCTCTGATTTAATCCCACCCAGCCCCACGGAAGTGGCCAAACACTTATCATTTGGAGATCTTTTTGGATTACACAGACAAGGGTTTGTTCATTTATCTGTACCCAATTCAACATGATTATGAAGGGTCTAATGACCCACCTGAAACAGATGTTTATCACTATGTATTATTACTACCACAAACAAACCTACATGACTACCAGCTACCAGCTAAGTAAGTAATTTTAAGGGCTAAGTTTTCTTTCCTTTTTTTTTTTTTGAGACAAGGTTTTGCTCTGCTGCCCAGGCTACAGTGCAGTGGTGTCATCATATCTCACTGCAACTTCAAACTCCTGGGCTCAAGCTATCCTCCCACCTCAGCCTCCCAAATGGCTGGGACTATAGGTGTGCATCACCACACTCCACTTCATTTTTTTTTTTTTTGGTAGAGATGGGGGTCTTACTATGTTGCTCAGGCTGGTCTTGAACTCCTGGCCTGAAGAGATCCTCCCACCTCAGCCTCCCAAAGTGCTAGGATTACTGGCATAAGCCACCTCACCCAGGCAGGGCTAAGTTTTCTTAAAACATCTTTAAGGACAAATGTAAAATACATTATTTTCTAAAAACAAAGATCAATTTCATGACTGAAACGTTGATGTTATAAGATACTACTAAAGTAATTATTTACTGACCACTGAACATACCATTAAAATACAAGAGAGGAACCTGTCATCAATCTTATCAAATTTACTGTTTTTTTTTTTTGTTTGTTTGTTTTTTTGAGACAGCGTCTCACTCTGTTGCCCGGGCTGGAGTGCCGTGGTGTCAGCCTTGCTCACAGCAACCTCAAATTCCTGGGCTCAAGCAATCCCTGGCAATAGCAAAGTGTGCCATTACAAGTAAA